GACGTCAATTTTTCTTTTTTTCTTTCTGGTACTGGTACTGGGGATTGGAACCAGGGTAATTTACCCCTGTGTTATACCCCTACCTGTTTATTTTATTGATGTTTTGAATTTTGAGACAGAATCTCACCAAGTTGTCCAGGTTGGCCTTGAACTTGTGATCCTCTTTTCTCAGTGGCCTGAGTAGCTGATAGTATAAGCATGAGCCACCATGTCTGGCTTTCAAAAATATTTTTTTAAAAATGGTGAGAGGAGTACGTTGGAATTTCAGCCAGAACCTTAGTATCAAGGGGAAGAATTGACCTGTCAGAATATTGTATATGATAAATATATAAAAGCTAGGCATGTGAAGCAAAGCCCCAACCCTAATCCTGACCCTAGTCCCAGCTCCAAACCTGTCGTTGCCTTGGCTGGAAATGTGAGTGGGTGGGCCTGTGAATAGGCAAACCACATCTGTGAGGCTAGAAAGGCATCATTGGGCCCCCACCTCACTGGAAGGGGTAATAGCTGTCAGCTTCTGCCTAACAATCAGGGAGTCTAGATTCAGATCTAGATTGAGCTCTAGTTCAATATGTAAGTAACTTAATTATTCTGTGCTTCAATTTCCCCACTTGTAAAATGGGGATAAAATAGTATCTATCTCAGATTATTGTGAGGAATGAAGAAAATCGTGCCTGTAAAGAGTTTGTTTAGAATAGAGCCCAGGACATAGAAATGACACAATAAATGATAGGTTCCCCTTTCACACCCTGTCCTCGCCTTTCTTGCCCCAAATCCAGCATGAGTGACATCCAAAATACCAAGCAAACTGGAATTAGTGCTAGCATAGATAGTGATGTGCCGTCCTATGGGAACATGGGCATATGGATGATGAACTTAGTTTTGTGCAGGCGGAATTCTTTTGTGGGGGGTACTGGGGATTGAACCAAGGGGGGCAGTACTACCGAGCCCCATCTACAGCCCTTTATTTATTTATTTTAATTTGGATACAAAGTCCAAGTTGCTTAGGCTGTCCTTGAACTTGCAATTCTCCGGCTTCTGCCTCCTGAGTTGCTGGGATTATATGCATGAGCCACTGCATCCGGTTTTGTGCAGGAGGGATTCTTGAGTGAAAATAGGATTCCTTGTTGTTAGAGAACTCTTAAGTGCAAATGGTGGGAACAGGAGGTAAAGAGAATAATTCTATAGAATGGGCCGAGTGTGCTGACCCTCAAACGCTTTCTTTTCCTAGAAGTAACTTGCCTGCAGCCCTGCCTGGTTTAAGTGGACTGGTATGTCACATTCCTCTGCAAACTACTTGTTATCTGCAGGGGAAATGCAGGCTTGTATCAGTGTCAATAAGAGGAACACAAGTGACCCTGAAGGGAGAGACTTTTGTGACCCTTTTCATAAACTAGATTCTAAAACTCAGGGAGATAAGAATGACTCCTCCTAACCATAAAATCTGTAAGAATTTACGGTTCCAATTAGAACAATTGGCATGGGCCAAGGTGACCTAGAGTTGTCATGGCAGTGGGAACTTGAAAGTTTGATGTCCTCTTGTTGTTAGTCAAAAGTCAAGAGGTGGATCTGGGCGAGGCTCTCTGGAAACTTCTCTGGAATCTGGAGAGCAGGAGAGGCACTCTCTGAGAAGTCCCACTCTCTCCCTTGAGAGCGTCCCCTTTCCCTTTTCTTATCCCTTCCGTAAATGCTCAGCTGTTACTCTAAGTGTCATGTCTGAAATCTTTCTGACTTGAGAGCAAGAATAGGGTTTGAAGAGGGGGGTCTGTGCACTGCCTCCATTTTTTGGAAGGCCTCAGCTCTGTAAAAAATGTGACCGAGATGAAGGGAGGCAGTGAGAAGACTTCTGGCAATAGAGCTGGTTATGGCCAGCGACAGGGAACTGCATGCTTTTGATAATTATAATTTGGGTGTATATGAATTGACATTAGCCAGAACATTGGATTTTTCTTAATTCACAAGCATAGCATGGCATTTCATTGGAGAAGCTCTTTACCAATGGGTGGATATATATGTAGAGGTGCATTTAAAAAATGTGTTTAGAATTAAGAAGCAATAGGGTGTCCTTTCAAGTTAAGAGTGAACTAGCTCATGCTGAGTTGGAAAAAAATCCTTCTCATCCCATTCTTTAGCTTCACATTAAATGGGAGAAGGGAAACAGTGGCACTGTCAGCTTTATAGAGTTGTGGGTAGTACCTACACACATGCATCCTGGGTGAAGTGTAGACTGTCAAGAACCTACACCACTAGCCTTTTGCTTTTTACTCTTGCTTTAAAAAAAAAATCATGATTATTGTTCCCCTTTCATATCCCAAGAACTCCTTTCCTGATAACCTCTTATATGAAAGAGTCAGGGTGTAAAACACCCGAGCAACACCTGAAGGCAGGGTGTTCTTGATAATTCCCAGATGGGCACAGGGAGTTTCCTTTCCACTTCTCTCTCTTACAGAAGGCAGGTACCCCTTAGCTGGAAGCTTCTGGCTCCAGAGAGAAGATGTGAAGGCGAAGGCTCTGCTAGACCCTTGTTATAGGACATGAAAAGGGAAGGGAAAGGCAACCAGCTGTTGCCTTTAAGAACAAAGCTTTGGGCTGGGAATGTCGCTAGGTGGTGGAACTTGCCTAGCATGGAACTCTCCTAGCAGGTGCGAGGCCCCCCGGTTCAACTCCCAGTACTAAACCAAATAAATACCAAAGTATTATTTATTCACCTTTTAAGTAAACAAAAATAAATGAGAACAGGAACAGCTCTAGTGTTTTGTGGCAGAACAGAATCAACATGATAACTTTAGAAGGAAACTTGGCAATATGTTTAACATGGACAAATGTTTGGAGTAAGAAAATCTGTCCTGTGAAATAGTGCAAAGTAATGTCAAAATGTAAAATAAAAGAACATATTTCTTGCAGCCCTTTATAAAGTTGTTATAAAGTGCTTCAGTACACTTTTGCAAGTGATGTGCTAGAACTGGCTCATACGAGAGCTGATTTCTTAATTTTCAGGAATTTTGTGAGCCACTTGTTTCATCACAACATTATTAAAAATTAAATTTTCTTGGGGCTGGGTTAGAGTGCTCACCTAGCACATGCAAGGCGCTGGGTTCGATCCTCAGCACCACATGAAAATAAATAAATAAAATAAAGGTATTGTGTCCAACTACAACTAAAAAAATATATTTTTTCAAAAATTAAATTTTCTTAAGTTTAGATTTTAAACTTACCTTAAATAAATTGTATTGAAAACAAAGGCAATAAATTTCCAAACCCATTATTTACTAAGTATTGTAATATGTTTACGGCTACCTATGCTTTTAAAGTTGTTGGTTTTGTATAGTGAAAATACAGTAACTGTTGTCTATCTCTTTCCATACTTGCTCTGGTGATGTCATGTCGGTAGCTTGATATCATCCACAGTGGGAACATGTACACGGTAGAAATTGCTAAACTTTACAGTTAGTGCATCTCTTCCCCAAGCTGGTTGTTAAGCATTTGTCACTACTGGCTTTGGCCATGAGGGACACTGGAGTGCTCCTACTCCCTCCTTCTCTCCCCCCTGCCTTTTAAAAAAAATTTTTATTGTGGAACTTTTTTTTTCTTTTTCTTTTCATTTGTTCTTTTTTTGATATACATGATGGTAGAATGTATTTTGATATATTATACATACAAGGAGTATAACTTATTCTAATTAAGAACCCATTCTTGTGGTCGTACATGATGTGGAGTTACGCTCCTCGTGCATTCATATGTGAACATAGGGAAGTTACGTCCCATTCATTCTACTGTCTCCTTCTCTCCCTTTCTTTGACCTGTCTCGTGGTTCTGAATTTGGGGATGTGATTGGGGGGAAGGAATACACTTAGTTATGCAATCTTCTCCTCTCTGTTTTCCTATTAGCCGGTACGGTTAGTTAATTTGAAGTATTTTAGATCTCAACTGCATTCATTTTAGGCCTTGATTCTTTTTTTTTCCTGGAGATAAGAGTCTTCTGATAGCCCCTCCCTGGAAAACAGCTTGCCCTCCCTCCTTCCCCATCACAGTACTTCTCAGTTCGGGCTAAACAAAATCTGCTGAGGATTTAACTAGGACACAGATTTCCAGCTCCCATCACTGTTCCTCCTGATTGAGGCTCTTGAGGAATGGGACACCCTATAGCGATTTGTAAGTACCCTTGGGATTTTGATGATCACCGTTTTGCTTTCCCCCAGGCTCCTGTGGGCTCCTCCTACCCAGCCCTCGAACTTGTGTACCTTGCTCAGCATTGGGTCATTTGGGCTTCTGGGCCCTGCCCTGTTGCACAGTAGCCATGAGTTTTTATGTTTGAACTCAAATTCTAACCTAGTGACATTTGGTAATCAGAAGGTATTCTTTGCCCCATTAGCCTGACACTTACACAGGGCCCACTTCCCTGGGCTCCAGTTCTTTTGGAACCTATGTTCCCATTTACACAGCCAGCTCAGAGTGCTGGGTTTTGTGTCTGCTTCAGCCTCTGGGTCACCTCGATAGAACTTGGTGGTGGCCTTTATGAGCACACCAACATGTGCTTCCAAGCTTCAGGCTTTTCAGTGTGCTGTTCTCTGTGCCCGGAGCACCCTTCTCCCGAGTCTTTGCCCTATTTGCTTTTCATTATTTTAATCGATCATAAAAGAGTCAAATGTGACTTCCTGGAAAGGTCTTCCCTGAGCATTGAAAACTTCCTCCCCTCTCAGTCCACTTTGCTGTGCCCATTGCCTCATCCTGTGCTAGTCTAGCCTTTTACCTTGGATTATTTCCATGCCAGCACTTGCCACCATTGGAAATTCTTCCTGTCGTATTTCTTGTTTGCTGTGTTTTCTACACAAGAATGTGAGCTCATGAGCACAGGGGTGTGTCTGATACATCGCAGGTGCTCAGTAACTGCCCTTTAAATGAATGCTTCTCCAAATTGTTATATGCATTTGATGCTGGTGTGTGAACCCTGGGCCCCTAAGCCATTCATCTGTTTTTCTAATGGCTCTTCTCTGGCTCCACAGATATTGCATGCCAGTGATTCGTCGCCGAGTTACCACCCCCATTTGGAACAAGTACTGCTCTATCAACTGATGAGAAATAAAATCTGTAGCTTTCCAGGTGACGATCACCTTTCATTTTCAGCAAGCTTACGAACCACTTGTTGTAGCTGCGCTTCATTGTCTTGTGGGTGAGTAATCTGTGGTAGAATGAGCCAACTAAACATGGAAGTAATGTAAGATAAATGTGATCAATTTTAGGAAACTTACTTCCTTTTTTTGAATTCTACCAAGAGTAGTTTTAGGTGGGGTGGTGGGGGCTGGAGGGCATCCATCCCTCTGTGAGATACCAAAAGGCCAAAACTGTTTTGGAGATGTTTGCCCTGTCTGATGGCGCCAGGACATGGAGGATAGGCTTGATTGATGATGAAGCGATTTCTGCAGATCTGTTGTCAGGAAGGTCAATAGGTTGGTGGTGGAAGCCTTCACCCTATATTTGCAATAGTTCCCGCTCCTGCTGGTGTTGGAGAATCTATCAAGCACAGAGTCTTCTGGTGCCAGCGGAGTGCTCAGCATGTGATAGAGAGTCTAAGAGGTGGTTCCAGCTGCACAGAGCTTATGATGTAATGCAGTCATCTGAAACAGGACTGAATTGTGCAGCAGGATCCTGCCAGGCCAACAGCAAGGACTGGGGCATTTTGTAATAATGGTTGGTTCAGTTTTCCTTGATACTGATTTTCAAATTGCTCTGTCAGGGGCTGTGCTATGATCTCAATATTTATGTCCCCCTAAAATTCCTATGTTGAAATCCTCATCCCCAATATGATGGTGTCAGAGGTGGGACCTTTGAGGGGTGATTAAGTCATGGTGTCTCTGTCTCATGAATGGGTTTAGAGCCCTCATAAAAGAGGCCAGGGAGAGACTCCTTACTCTTTTCACCATACGAGACTACAATGACAAGACCGCCAACTACAGAGTAGTCCCTCTCCAGACACTGAATCTGCCAATACCTTGATCTGGACCTCTCAGGCTCCAGAACAGTAAGAAATAAAATCTGTTGCTAATAAGCCACTCAGTCTAAGGTATTTTATTATAGCAGCCTAAACTGACTTAGATAGGCAGACTGGGATTAGAGAAGGGACTGTGGCCAGGGATTTTGAGAGCAAATTCTGGATCTTGTCTTAGCTCTACATTTAAGTAGAGCATCTCATTTAAAAAACATAATTAATATATATATTTTAAATTATGTTTGTGCTTGGTGTGGTGGCACACACCTGTAATCCCAGCAGCTCAGGAGGCTGAGGTAGGAGGATTGCAAGTTCAAAGCCAGCCTCAGCAACTTAGTGAAGCTGTAAGCAACCTAGTGAGACCCTGCCTCAAAACAAAAGGTAAAAATGGGTCAGGGATATGACTCAGTGGTTAAGTGCCCTTAGGTTCAATCCCTGGCACCAAATAAATAAATTAATTAAAAAAGAATAAAATTTTCTGTTTGTTTTAAAGTTACAGGAAAGTTTCAAAGCTAATAAAGTTCCCAACGAGCACATGGTTCCCTCTATTACTAACATCTTATTTTGGTGCATGGTACACTTGTTACAGTTCATGAGCCAATATTAATTCATTATTTACTAAAATCCATACTTTACTCAGAATTCCTTAGTCTTTCCCAAACATCCTTTTTCTACTCCTGTATTCTTCCCAGGATACCACCTTGCATTTAGTAGTCAGGTTCTTTTGGGCTCCTGTTGGTTGTAGTGGTTTCTCTAACTTCCCTTGCTTTTGATGACCTTGATAGTTTGAAGGGTACCAGTTAGGTACTTTGTAGAATGTCCCTCAGTTGGAATTTTATGATTTTTTTTTTTCATGATTAGACTTGGATTATGGATTTGGGGAGGAAAACCACAGAGGTAAAATACCATTCTTATCACATCATCAGGAGTACATACTATCAGCATGCATTGTCTCCGATGATGCTGATCTTGATCGCTGAGGTAGAGTATTAAAAACTCTGTCTTGTGAAGTTACTTTTCCCTGTTATAAACACTGCACTCTTTTAAGATGGTGAGTTATTCTGTATCTCCTAGCTAGAGTAGCACCTCCAGGAATTATTTGGAATTCTTCTGCATCGAAGATTTGTCTCTTCATCCTTATTTGTTTATATCAGGATGGACTCATGGATACTTATCGTGTTCTTCGGGTTATAATCCAGTACTATCTTTTTATCTTTGCCTTTTCATTTGAATAAAAATTCTGCTGTTTACAAATGTTAGAAAAGACTTGTTCTGTGTTTTTATATCTCCTCCTTTTTTTGTGTGTGTGTTCTAATAAACCTTTATTTACAAAAAAAAACAAAAAAAAAACCACATTGCTTAAGGTGGCACCTTTCGGTATCCTACAGTGCATTGCTTTTTCTCTCTTGTTATAATTAATCCTTTCATCATCTTCTTATTCCTACAAGACAAGTTAGAAAAGAATTGTAAAAAAATTTACTAGAGTAGATACCATTTAACACTAACCCCTTGAAAGTGGCTGATAAACAAGAAATGCAATTCTGGAGCTCCTGAGCAGTTTACCCCCATACAGGATAGTGAGTTAAAAGGATACACGGAGGGACTGGGTTGTGGCTCAGTGTATCTCCTCCTTTTTTACTTTAAGTATCCTATTTATTTGTTCATTGGAGGCAATAAAAGAACATGACCACTTAGAATATTTATACTTTATCTTTTTAATTATTTTTTTGCAGTGGTCATTAAACATATGGGTATTTAAGTTGCTTTCTGGAGGAGTAGAGACCAGAAGGCATGACTTCCCCTTGTTGCATATATGTTTTTATTCTCTACTTGAAATTATTGCTGAGATCACCAATAGAGAGATTTATAGTCATCTGGCTTATTGAATCTCCAAGGAAGTTTGATAACTTTCGGGGGTAAAGAATCATTTGGGCCATGTTTCTTTTCTTTTTTTTCTTGTTCAGATTTTCCTCAAATAACATAGGATCTTTGGGTATGGGTGTACACCTCTGTGGCAGAGCCCTTCCCTAGCCTGTGGGAGGCCTTGGGTTTAATCTCCAGGACTAAAATTAAAAAAAAAAACAAAAAAAAAAAAGGAAACTTTGAAAATGCTATTTAATGTACTCTGCTTATTTTTACTGCTAGAAGAATGGTAGACTTGTTATAGGAGCACCGGAGTTGGCCTTCCATGCTTTCTGTTTCTTAAGTAAATTTCTTTTGTGAAAATTTTTTTTTCTCTACTAAAGAACACAATTCAATGACTGGATGTAAATTTTTATTTCACCTCTTTTTAAAGCATTTAAAAATATAACACATGTTTATTGACCTGGCTTAACATAGAGGGCAAACATCCTACAACTATTTTATTCCCTTATAAATTTTCTTTTATGTTTCATTAATTTTGTTCTAAGATAGAGTGTTCTTGGGCATTCTTGTTTACGTGCCAGAAACACTTTGGAGAATGGTTTTAGTTGCAGACAGAGCCGTATTTTTATGAGTTGTAGGCTGACAGTTACACTCAAAGACCAGATGACTTGGCCGAATGGGCCAGAAATATGCCTCTAAATCCAATGTTGATTTGTCACCTAGTATGTGATGGGTTACCCAGGCAGCCCTCCTGCTCTGATGCCCCACTGAAGACTCAGTCTTCCTATAAAAATGCAAAGCCCATCCCAGCATGGCTGACCCCATAAATGGTCACTTGGGCCTGTGTATGGGTCTGCTCTTAGTAGGAACAGGTAATATGCCCAGAGCTGGGTCTTGGGTCCTGGTCGAACAGGCTTGAAGAGTTTTCTGTTGCAGTCAAATAAGCAATACCAAGCACTCAGTGTAGCTCAGCAGTAGAGACAGGGCTTGGTCATGAAGTTCAATCCCCAAAACCAAAACAACAACAAAACGGTGTTAATTTGGAACATGCTGAGATGTCATTACTGTATTGCATGGCAATTGAGCATAAATTAAGCATAAAGGACAAGCACTTTACACCTTTGACTGTAATTAGCATTAATTTAAAACATACCAGAGTGAAAATTGAATTCTCCCTTCATCTTTCTCAAGTCAAACTTGTACTCAGACTGACACTTTCTTTTGATTGCATCCAGAATTTATTTCTCTATTTATTTGTTTATTCACCAAGTCATTGAATCCAGAATTTATTTCTCTATTTTATTTGTTTATTCACCAAGCTCTTAATAATGACTTCTATACAGCAAAGGTTTCCTTATCATCTCATTTCCTCAGGGAATCTGAAAATCATCCACAATTCAAAATGACCATATGTTTATCCAGTAGAAATGACTAGAGATGATGTATATATTTTCACTTCTTTGTCATTTACAAACTAAGCTGAATCCAGACAAGGAGAGAGGTTTTGTTTCAAATAAAACCTGGTTATTATTTGGCCTTGTGGTTCCTCTGGCCACAATGCTCAGAACTGATATGGAGCAAGATAGATATCCCAGTCCCAGCAGGAAAGTCTCTCTCCTGCTGGGGTCTTTAGGCCCTGAATTGACCCTTGGACTCCTCAGCCACCCTGGATCCTGTTCACTTGACAGGAACAGTTTGGAAGAGATTGTTGCCCAAAACAGAGGCTTGGTTTTCTTCAAATAGTAGACCCACCATTTCTTAATGCTACAAAATTGGGTTCAAAGTCACTCTTAATAGAGGATATTTAAGTGACTGCCATTTGCTGGGCACTTCCTTGTCATTTAGTTCTGTATTGTATCCCACAGCATTTGAATCTGTCTACTTTGATTTTGTCCAGTTCACTTTCTCAACTTTTCTGATAATAGGATGGTCTTACTTAAGTATTTGTGAATGTTCCCTGGATTCAGTGGCTTGAATTCAAAAACCAGAGACTTTTCCTTCCCTTCAAAGTTTCTTTAGGTTTCGCCTTTTAAGGGTCATTGGTAATTATATGTATCTGTCGTTTTACAAATAAGTCATGGAAAAATGGAAAATGGGTTTGAAAATTATTCTCACATGACAGCCATCATGAAACTTATAAGGGAAAACGGCAATTAGGGAGTACTAAGCCTTTAAAAAATTCTAAGAATTAAAAGAAAAAGAATAAACCCTCAAGGAATTTAGCCAATGTCAGTCAGTTTTACATTGGCAGCCCCAGATAAATGAGAAACTAAAAAAACCTTATTTATATTAGCACCTGCCATCTTTTCCTCATTAGT